AAGGAGTGGCTTAATTTTTTTTAGGTTGATCGCCAATGGATTCCGTGACTATCAACCAGTCATGGAATATAGAATGAATTGCACATTATATATGGCCGTTTTAAAAATACTTGATTCTAAAGAAACCGGGATTATTATTGGGGTAAAACATTATTAAAATACATAAATTTTTCTTAGCACAAAATAAATATGTCTAGTAATTTGTTTTTTCATTTGTTTACCTTTTTACAGAAACTCACCACACAACAATCAAAAACAGCTGTTAGGGTTTGCTGTTTTATCAAAAGGTTGTTTTATTAACGGGTATCTGCTTAAGTTGGAAAACAAGGTTGCCAGATAAATTTCACAATGTTTTTCACAATAAGAACAGAATACTGCTTTTGCGAAATTATTTCTCAAATATTTCATACCAAATATTTTATTTGTAGTTTGACAGCATTTCGCACGAAATTTTGAACAGAGTACCTGGCCCTTTCCACAATTATTTGCCAAATTTATTCTACGAATTTTTCAAGATTGTCGACCTTTTGAAATTTTAGGACAAAAAGTCGACTTTGACTTATCTTTTTCCTACAAAAAGTCGATTATAGAATCGTTGAAATGTGTTATACTAGAGAAATCGCTAGAATTAACTTAACTAAAAATTATATTTTTTGGTAAATTGATGATAAAACCGCTTGATTATCAATACTGTTTTTAGAAACTCTGCATTTAATTGCAAATCAGAGACTTGCGCCGATTCGGCTTAAGCCGACTAAGCCTAGACGCCGAACAAAATGTCAAAGCCGCCGTCGCCGAAAATTTTTCAGCTTAATACGGCTTGAAAATTTCGCCATATTTTGTACAATTTACAGAATACTTTCGCTAAATTTGTGGAATTTTACAGTATAAAATTAATTTGTTTTCATTTAAGCAAGTTTTCTTTTATCTAATAATAAGCCGCTCATTGAAATTTGGCCTGTGTAGAACTTTGCTCAACGTTCGATGTACATGCTTCGCCTCAGATATTTTCGTGTTTTCGCGCCTAATTCGAGTCGCTGCTTTGACTTCAAACCAGCTTCGTTGACGTTAACGGAGCTACACCTTTTTACATTGCTGGTATGTCATACCGTAAAGGGCTAGGGTATCGAACATGTGTATTTTAAATGGGATGTGCAGTTAATGTCAATTCTGCTGACTGCGAAAAGAAATTCTGCTAGAATTTTTCGCGCCAAACTGTTTTCTGCATTTTTTATTTGCAAAAAAATCTGTTGTTGTGTGTGTGCTAAAATCTAAAATGATAGTAACAATAAATTGAATTGAAATTAATAAGATTATATGCTATACTACTATACCGAGGGTCATTGAGCAAAGAAAAAACAGCAAGCGTTGGGTTTAATTTAGTTAAATTGTTAATAACTATGATGAAAATGTTTTTCCAGGCGCGGTTTGTTTTCGTTTAATACCCAAAAGTGTTTATTGAAATCTAGATTTGGCATATTTGTGAGATCTAGAAGATTAAAAATGTTAGTAATGGTGTTAATTAATTATTTATTTGTCTATAAAGAACCTCTTTCTTTTCAAGAAAGAGGAGGCATCATGATGGTCTCCTGGAAGAATGCCCACAAGAGAGTGGCAATTGTATACCTCCCTAGTCACCTAGGCGGGTGGTGGTCGGTCGGCTAGTGGTGACATTGTACATATATTATCACCTATAGCCAATGGACGGAAGCTGATTGCCGTATTCAGGGGTTAACCTTGGGATACATACTTATTATTATACGATTAATCTCAGCAGAATCACTATCATACACCCATAATAGAGCGCGATGTCTCTCTGGTGTGCCTTTCAGTGAAGCTCTTGTTGTCTCCAAACACTATGGTGGCCGAATATTTGCAAGAAACAATTGTTAAGCTGCCTTTTATACAAATTTATAGCTTTGTAGAGAATGTCTTCACGGACCTAGAGGATATAACCTGGCTAGGTATGTAGATGTTGTTTGGGCAAAATATTGGTACTAACCATTGTGGGCTTTATGTCGACTTTAGATCCCTTATAGTTGTCACACTATACCAAATAAGCATTCTTGCTGGAATTAAAGTTTAAAACAAGTTTAATTCCAGTCAAACATTCAAATTTCAAGTGTTGAAATACACTTTCATTACACTTTAATTCAATAGCATTCTCCAGTGAAAACGAAACTTGAATTCAAGTCGAACATTACAATTAGGGTTCTATAAATCGACTTTCGAATAATCGAACAATCGACTTTTTGTCGAAAAAAGTCGAAAAGTCGAAGTCGACTATTTTGTTCCAAAAAAGTCGATAACTCGACTATCGTCTATGAAAAAAGTCGAAAAGTCGACTTTGTAAATAAAAGTCGAAAAAGGTCGAAAAGTCGAAAAAAGTCGAAAAGTCGAAAAAAGTCGAAAAGTCGAAAAAAGTCGATAAGTCGAAAAAAGTCGAAAAAAAGTCGAAAAGTCGAAAAAAGTCGAAAAGTCGGAAAAAGTCGAAAAGTCGAAAAAATCGAAAAGTCGAAAATAGTCGAAAATTTTAAAAAAGTGGAAAAGAGGTCAAAAACTCTAAAATAGTCGGAAAAACTCGAAAAAAGTAAAAAAAAATAGTCGAAAAAAGTCGAAATAAGTCGAAAATTTTCAAAAAGTCGTAAAAAATCGAAAAGTCGAAAAGTCGGAAAAAGTCGAAAAGTCGAAAAAAGTCGGAAAAAGTCGAAAAAAAGTCGAAAAGTCGAAAAAAGTCGAAAAGTCGAAAAAAGTCGAAAAGTCGAAAAAAGTCGGAAAAAGTCGAAAAGTCGAAAAAAGTCGGAAAAAGTCGAAAAGTCGAAAAAAGTCGGAAAAAGTCGAAAAGTCGGAAAAAGTCGAAAGGTCGAAAAGTCGACCATTTATAAAATACTAAAAGTCGAAAAGTCTAAAAGTCGACTTTTAAATAAATGAAAAAGGTCGAAAAGTCGAAAAATCGACTTTTCATAAAATGGAAAAAGTCGAAAGGTCGAAAAGTCGACTTTTAACTAAATGCAAAAAGTCGAAAAGTCGACTTTTCGTTTCAACTATAGAACCCTAATTACAATGTTTTTACAGTATAATTCAATTCAATGCTTTGGGGAATAAACGGGTATAAACTGTAATTTGGTACTTCTTTTGCACCCCATGTATCTTTTAAACCAGAGAACATTCAAAAAATATTTTTGAATCCTTCATAACTTGACGAACAAATAAAAATATAAATTTAGTACTTTTTGGATATTCGGACGTTTAAGGGGTGAAAATTGTACCTATTTTTGGTACTTTTTTATAAAACATTGTTTTTGGTTTATTAACTTATACATATGAATACATAATAACGGGCTCCCAATACGATGTTGCAACTGGTACTTTTTTGACTTAGAACTTAGAAACATGTAATTAAGCACTTGAGAATCTATAAAAGTGGACTTTTTGGTACTTTTTCGTTCTTCAAAAGGTACTTTTTGAGTTTTCTATTTTTCGTTCTTCGACTGGTACTTTTTGAATTTTTTATAATATTGAACCTAGAAACATGAATTTAGGAATGTACAGCCCGGATTAAGTAATAACATATAAAAGGGAACTTTTTGGTACTTTTTCGTTCTTCAAAAGGTATTTTTTGAATTTTCTATAATATTGAACATGGAGTAAGTGAGAACATATAAAACGGGACTTTTTGGTACTTTTTCGTTCTTCAACTTGTACTATTTGGATTCTCTTTTATAATGAACCTAAAAACATAAAACTAAGCAATCAGGGACTTGAGTGAATGAAAATTTAAACTGGAGTATTTCTGGTAATTTTTCGTTCTTTAACTGGTACTTTTTGAATTTTTTAAAATATTGAATATATAAACATAAAATTAAACCCGCAGTATCCTGATTGAACGAAAATTTATCTCGCTTACGTCCACTAAAATAGGAATAGTCTTCCTTTAGAGTTGCGAGTTTTCATACATTCTAATAATGTTTTCAAAGTGAAACTTTTGGAATATTTTTCAACCTCTTTGTGATCCCTTTAAATGATGTTGTTCTGGAAGAACTTTAACATCCATGTAAACATTTTGGGTAATAAACTGGGGGACTACCAATGAGGGGAGCGGAACCTCCCATATGAATTAAATACAAAAATTCGTTTATCTGGGAAACTAATATAACTAAATTCTTCAAATTTTGCACGAACAACTTTAATATTCATCTGAACATTTTGGAGAAAAAAGGGCGGACTTTCATCTGGGGGGCTTGGAGCTCCCATATGAATTAAATAGAAAAATTCGTATATCTGAGAAACTATTAGAGCTAGAATCTTCAAATATTACTGAAGAACATTTAGAGAATAACCTGCGGACTTTCAATGGGGGGCTTGGCACTTCCCATATGAATTAAATACAAAATTTTGTATATCTGGAAACTATTAGATTATTCAAATTTTTCATAGATTAAATTAAAATCTTAATTAACGTTCAGAATAATTGGCGAAATTGCAATAATTTGCGTGGAATCTCCCATATGTAACAAATTGTATATCTGGAAAACCATTGTAGTTAGAATCATCAAAATTGTTAAGTAGGCTTCTTATATATATTGCTTTTAGGGTAGCACAGCACACTGGGTATAGCTAGTAAATAAACAAATAAAATATCTTTGTTTTTACGTTATTGATCATTTTCATAATGCAAAATTTTTTAGAAACTGATTTTCTGCAAGATGTTTTATATGGAAGATAGGGTTAAATATCGGCAGATCCTAGTAAAACTTGGAGAAAGGATTTGTTTTTAACTTTTAAGAATTTTTTATTCATCCCTGCATAATTTCTCATGCAACTTTTGAGTTTGCTCTGTTTTGTTGTTATAAACAATATATTTGCTTCCAAAATCCTACTTTCTGATCTCTCGGATTCCGTTTTTATTTAAAATCGTTGAAAAATTAAAAACTAAACGTAGTTGAAAACTTAGCCGGCTTACAGTCGATTTTAAGCCGCCGCCGACATATTTAGTGTCAGTCGCCGCCGCCGTTAATATTTGTCGGCGCAGGGCTCTGTTGCAAATCACAAAGTATACCCTGTGTTGCAAATTCCCAAAAAGAAAAGCTCATAAAGCAGAATAAGTTCTAAATAAGAATTTTTTAACTAGTTTTAAAAACAAATGTCTGATCTCGTGTGGAGTATTAAAAATGGTGAACTTGATCAAGTTCAAGCATTAATCCACGAAAAGGTAAAGATGATTCATTGCTTTTATGGGTTTCATGAAACCAATGGTGGGGGTGGTGAAGTTATCTCAAAACAATAAAAAGACATTAAGATATTGACGTTTCTAAATTCGGGTTACCGCAATTAAGTATATGGGCAATTTCTTGTCAAGTGACCCAACTTTTAAAATCGATGTCTACCGTTTTGGATAAAATTTGCACCAAGGTTAGTACAATTGGATAGTAGACACAAATCTGTATCGGTCAAGAACTGCCGGACTTAGAGGTGATCAAAGTTGGACATTTTGGTCATGCAGAATTTTATTAAAATGAGTGGAACTGTTCAGCTCCACCACAATTTCACAAGATTTTATGAAAACAACAAAATATTTGCAAATTTAATGAGTCGTAGATCTCTGTATTTATTTATTATTATTATTTTACCTCGTAGATGTAATAACTCCAAGAGCACGTAATGCTTATGTTCAGAAAAGAAGTGTTTTTAATTTAAATTGGTGACAAACAATATTTAGGTACCGTTAACCCTTTCAGGGTCAAAAATAATTTATGTCTAGAAAAAAACTTGAAAACTTATATTTAAGATAATTTGAGTATGCTGAATTCGGGAAAAATAATATTTTTTGAATTTGAGTTTTCTTTAGTGAGTTATAGAAGGTCAAAGTTAAATGTCGAATATATTCGACATTCGAAAAACAGTCTCCAAAAAGTACCACCAATATTTTCTATGAATTTTTTTTGTAAAATGTCTTCTTAAACTTCTTTCAATACAATACAATTTAAATCTGCATAGTCCGATCTCCTAAAATACAATTTTTTGGCCATTAAATGAAGCTGTTTTTTAAACGTTGTTAAAAAGCACTTTTTAAAAAGTAGTCATAAGTGACAATTTCTTAAAATCTGATTTTTAAATACTTTTAAAATCTTTCAAAATCTCAATTATAAATATAATAAAGTCTTCATTTTCATCTAAAAGAAAAAAATTAAAACTAAAGTTAAATATTATACCCAAAAAATGCTTAAAAACAGAGTCTATTGTAATGTCGAATATATTCGACAAAACCACGGAAAGGGTTAACGGTTTACTCGTTAGAATCTTCCAACAAAGTTGTAAATAAAGCGGAGCTTAATACGATTCTAACGTTGCAAAAAATAGTATTTGCATATGTTATCAAAACAAGTGTAAACCATAAATCGAAATTGAACATTGCCGGCCACCTTTCAACACTAAAGAGTGTTGCAATGAACATTGAGATCTATATCTCTAGATTTATTATTATGTTTTTTTTATATTTTTTTTCATAAAACAAGTGATCAAAGGTATCACACCAGACTCTGCTGGTAAAATAATGGTTCCCATAGAACAAAGCCTATGGGATGTAGTTTTCCGCAGACTCAAAGGGAGAATGGTTTTAAAGCACCATGAATTGGGTTCGTAGAACAAGGGTTCCCATAGGACAAAGCCTATGGGATGTAGGTTTTAAGCAGACCATGAACTGGGCCCCTTAAGGAGGGGCTTGGTCATAAATGACCCAACCACAAAGTGGTGTATTTAAAATTAGTATGTATGTATATTAAAGTAGACGTAAATATATTCTTGTGAGCATTTTAAGTGATATTCAAACAAATGTTAAGAAGCGTTAGACCACGTAGTGTATTGTAAATTTGCGATATGTGATTCAAGTCCCTAGGATTGGCTGGTCCTGTCAGAATCCAGCCAAATACAGTTTTTTGTGCCAATAATGACCCTAATATATTTTGCTGTATTTCCGGTAAAATTATACGATGATATAAATCCGCAACAATAAGAATATCTACAGGCCTACTATCTTAAAGATTAGAATTCCCCAAACGAAGATTTGGCAATAACTTTTTAATATCGATATTTACGGAAGTTGAAGGCAAATTTCCTGAAATTTTTGGTAAAACAAATGCGTTTGTACTAAGGTTTACTGAAGGGTCTAAATCGGAACCAATTTCCACAGGACAATATTTAGAAACTCAATAACTACATTATTGATGCCAGAAACTTGAATGCGTGGGAAGTTTTAACCTTTTTCGTAATCGTTCAGAAATGTAAGAGCATTCTGAACCCGAATCAATTAAAGCGCGGACCTGATACTTATTGTTATTATGAATTATATTTACCGTAGCTGTCCCTAATAGAACAGACTGGTTTTGACTAGTATGAAATACTTGTGAATTGGACGTTACATTATTTTACGTATGTGATTGTTGGTAGTGGGAGTTAGTAGGTCGTAGAACCGCACCAACCACAGAATTTTCTAAATGTTGTAAATGAAGCATCGAGTGATGTCGATTATTGCATATATAAGAATTATTATTTATTTTGCAACTTCTGGCAGTATGTGTCCTCGAAAGACAATTAGTGCAGAAGTTATGCTCATTCACTGTTGAAATTCTATCAGATATTGAAAGACTTTTAAAACTACGACAATTTCGCAAGTAGTGGGACTGATTAGGACATAAAATACAAGAAATTTTAACGAAAGAATTGTGAGATTGCATTGAAGATTCCATATTAGTGGAGTTTGTACCTTTAATTTCTTGAAAACATTGCAAAGTCAGAATTCTTTCCTTCAGAAAATTTTCTAAATCAAAGGCAGGAAGACTATATAAAAGCGTTAGTTGGTTATGCACCAACATACGAGGATTCTCATATGCATTCCTTAAATCGCACCAGGCTAACTCAAAACTATTATTATTTAATGGATATCTTGAAACAATTGTTTTAGCTTCACCCTCGGTTTTTCGTATTAAATGGCAAAGACTTTCTATATCGCTAAGCCGCGAGTTATTAATGTAAATTGCGGTAAATAAATCCCTAAAAGCGGGCCAAGAAACATAATCCCCTACGAAAGAGTCGATATCGCATGGAGGGAGCGTCAGATTATGCTCTGAATTATCGGAATTCAAATTCGCTGATGGAGGTTCATTAGTTTTGAAGCGGATTACAATGTTCTTATTTTCTTAGAAATAGATCCTCCACATTCAATGTATTCATAAGATGTGGCTTGATATTTTTCCGCTACCACTTTAAATTCACTAGACTCTAGAGTGTTAAGACATACTTCGTACGTCGAATTAACTTTGTCCCAAAGTCTTTCTAACTCCCGTTTCCGAATCTCCAACTTAAAAACGTCATGCAATTTATCATCAAAATTATCAAACCTCACGCGGTATGCAACGAGAGCATACGATGCTCTAATAAACGCATTTAGTGACGCGACCGACATTTTTAATATTACCCAGCAAAAAATAATTGATGTCATACTTTACAAACTACATCTTAATCACATCTTAAAATGCGATCACATATTTTTCACTTTTATAAACCAAATATTTCCTTACAAATGAAACCCCAGTTAAAAGTGAGGAAAGAGATGTGGAAAAGTCATTACAAATAACATATTTGAAGTACATCAAGATTTGGTGAAAGAGTAGTGAAATTTACATAAGCGTATCATTAAGAGAATGTGTTTTATTTTTGACATCCAAATATCGGATTTTTACTGCTTCTAAAAATAAGATCAGATGTAGTTCAAAGTTGCCAAAAATGAACAACATCCCTCCAATGACACGCTAATGTAAAATTCATAGGTTTTACACCCGAATTTGAAGCACTTGGGGTTACTAGTTGTGATGAAAATTCTACATCTTTTTCTACACTTTTTTTGCTGGGATTGTGATGAAAATACTACATCTTTTTCCACACTTTTTTTGCTGGGTTGTTATATTGTCTAGATCAACGGTTCCCAAAAGGGGGTCCGCGGACCCCTAGTGGTCCGTAGCAAAATCCTAGGGGGTCCGCGAAGACGAACGAAAAAAAATCATGAATAAAAAATATTCTCTATATGTTAGAAAATATTAAAAATATCTCCAAATTTTTCATAAATACTAAAATGCACAATTTTTATTCAATAATCCCAGATTTGTTGGTGACTTTTTGAATTTTATTGTTTCGGTCGTTTATCAGTATGAAGCTAGGCCCTACAAATCTATTGTTTCACATTTATAGAGTAAAGTATTACGTGATTTGTAATTTTTATAAATGTATATGTATCGAAATAAATGTTTTTATATCAGACGGATAATGATTTGCCTTACTGGAATCCCGGAATATGAAGTTAGGACACATTTCATAATATTTTTTTTTAAATTGTAAGCAAAAGTGTTAATCTAGTTAATTTTAAATATAAATATTCCATTCCGACGTGATACACAGTTCATTTTGCTGTCCAATATTATTAAATCAACATCAGAAAATTCATAGCGTTTTGCGTAAATAGTCAAAACCACGCGCTAAAATAATTCGTAGGTTTTTTAAAATTCAAATTTAAGATCCAAATTCACAATACATTCGCAAAAAGTTCAGGTCAAATTTTATGTGGGTAACGCATTCCGCAACAACATCGAAGAAGTCTAACTTTCACATATTTTCCCGAAAACTTAGCTTACATACTCAGCTCACTCCTATGCAATCGCAAAAAAATTTAGAAACATTACTCTTTCAGACATGTCGACAATACTTGATAAAGAAACCTTTTCGCTACCTTGACGAGAAATGAACATGAAAGCTCTCACGATCATAAAATTAAACATCATGTTAGAAGTCATTCTATATTTAAAACCATGCAATTGAAAACATCTCCGCAATACTAATTGTTCTCAATGTACGGGAATATTTTATAGGGTTTATGGACCAGGACTAAGACAATTTTCGGATGAACAATTATTTATAACAATAAGATATCAAAATATGTATGGGGGTCCGTGAAGTTAAATAAGTTCCTCAAGGGGTCCGCGAAGTAAAAAACGGTGGGAACCGCTGGTCTAGATAGTCCTTATGTTTGATATCACGCTTTTTAAAATTTCCCAGCAAAAAAAGTGAGGAAAAGAAGTAGAATTTTCACCACAAATAACATACTTGAAGTACTTCCAATTTTGGTGAAAAACCTATGAATTTTACATTAGCGTGTCATTGGAG